CTAAGGTAAGGAGCTCAAGACTGAACACAATATTCCAAATGTGGCCTAACTAGTGACCTGTACAATTAAATTATAACCTCTTTAGACTCATATTCAATATTTCTGTAGATACAACCTAAAATCCTATTTGCCCTACCATTAGCAACAGCACACTGCTTGGATGGCTTTAGAGACTGATCGACTATTACACCAAGATCCCTTTCCTTCATAACACTATTAAGGTTATTCACATCCAAATTATACTTATAATTCAAATTATGATAATCCACATACATTATTTTGCACTTATTATAATTAAAACCCATCTAACATTTATTTTCCCAACTCACTAAATGATCTAAATCCTTTTGTAAATCAGCAGCACCCTCTTCACAGCTAGCAACACCCAAGACCTTAATATAATCTGCAAATTTAAGTAATTTATTGACTATCCCTTCAGTTATGTCATTGATGTAAATCAAAAAAGAGCACAGCTCCTATGACTGATACCTGAGGTACCCCACTTGTAACATTAATCCAGTTTGACTGAACTCCATTTGTAACAACCCTCTGCTTTCTTCCAATCCAGCCACTCTTCTATCCAATTTAGTAACTTATCCCCCACACCTAAAGAGATAATTTTTTTTACAAACCTTGTAAGTGGCACCTTGTCAAATGCTTTATGAAAATCCAGATACACCTACATAAGCAGTAACCTTTTCAAAGAATGTTAAGTTAAAAGATTTGTAATGCAAGATTTTCCCTTAGTGAAACCATGTTGACTGTCCAATAAAATTCTAAACTTAATGGTTCATAGTCTTTAAACCCTAATGATATACTGACTATTGGTAAATTTTTCAGTCAACAAGAACTGGAGGACATTCTAAAAACTGTATAACACATGTGAAAATATTACTTCCAAAGAATGTAACTATATAACTCGTATGGGGAAATATTACTTCTGAAGAACGTAACTATGTAACTCATGTGAAAATATTACTTCCAAAGAATGTAACTATATAACTCGAATGGGGAAATATTACTTCTGAAGAACGTAACTATGTAACTCATGTGAAAATATTACTTCCAAAGAATGTAACTATATAACTCGTATGGGGAAATATTACTTCTGAAGAATGTAACTATGTAACTCATATGGGGAAATATTACTTCCAAAGAATGTACCTATATAACTCGTATTTGAAAATATTACTTCCAAAGAATGTAACTATATAACTCATATTTGAAAATATTACTTCCAAAGAATGTAACTCATATGGGGGAATATTACTTCCAAAGAATGTACCTATATAACTCATATTTGAAAATATTACTTCCAAAGAATGTAACTCATATGTGAAAATATTACTTCCAAAGAATGTAACTATATAACACATATATGAAAATATTACTTCCAAAGAATGTAACTATGTAACTCGTATGGGAAAATATTACTTCCAAAGAATGTAACTCATATGGGAAAATATTATTTCCAAAGAATGTTGTTTTTCACATGGTTATTGATTTCTGAGTCAAGCTCCCTGAGCCAGTTGCAAAATGTATAGTGTGAGTTTAGGAATGCTCTAGTTATGGTAAAAGAATCAGATTTATTTTTAATCTCCTAATTCTTACAAACCATAGTTGTAAGTTCTATATTTTGCCAAAGAGTAGCTATATAAGCATTGCCAGCTGCCTTAAGTAAATCAAGCATAAGACCTGTGTGTTGGACAGAGTGCTAACTTAAGTGTATTTAAAATTTCTCTGTGATATGTGGTAAAGATACTAATTGTAAACTGGTATGGTTTCTCTTTAATTCAGAAAAGTGACCTGAGACCTTTCAGGCTTAGAGTAAAATATAACTGAGTTTAATCCATTATAACATGATACTTACAGATATGTACCGTACTTGAATATTCATGTTTGTAATTACAGTTGGTTTTACTTTTGAAAAATAAGTTAGTAAGAAGTGTCACGTGTTAAAAAAAATTGTCAAGATTATTACATAAAAATCAATAAAAAATTTTCTACGTGCCAGCATACAACCTCATTTGGAAATAAAGAAATTTTTGTCATATTTTACAGGGTGTTGTAGAATTTAACGGTGAAGGTTCAGATCACTGCCATGCATTTCAACCATCAAAAGAAAGAGTAAATAAAGCCAAACGTCAGCTGATCTTTAGCAGTTGTCTGTGTTTTTGTTTCATGCTTGTTGAACTTCTAGGTAAGTCTGTTTGAGTGTTTATCTGATCTAAAATATATATATTTTTTTTAATTCAAACTTACTGTGGAGTCTCAGTGCATTTCTTGTATCTGCTTTGCTTGGCATAAAATTAATTAATTTTTTCAATTTCCTGAATAAATATTTGAATATGTTTCACTGTGTTTTTAGTACTCCTCGTATATTAAATTCAGTCTGAATATATATTCTTCTGTCTTTAAACTTCATTTTGCTGGAAAAGTGTAATCCTTGAAAAACTTGGGAAAAGTTATGCGTTTAAATCTATTCCAAACATTACTCCCTGTTACGATTACCTGTGTGTGAAGTAATGATAGCAGCTGAATTTTTGTTACAGGTGTCAACACTGAAAAAATCATGATCAACCTTCTTCAACTACAGTATCAATTTTAATCCTTTAATGGAAAGAATTCAAGGTGTGATACACTCAATTATTCATGTATCTCATGATCATTGGGTGGATCATAATCCTGATAAATTGAAAAATTCCTAGCTCCATTTGAGTGGACAATCTGCTTGAACCATACACTTTATTTTCATTTTCATGAAATTATATTCAATTACAAAAAAAAAAGATAATGAGCATGTGGGTTTTTAGTTAAGCCTGTATAACTTTTGTTCTGTGACTGTTGTTAAAAATATTAAGATTCTTCTTAATTTCTCATAAATATTCTAATGAATTTTGAAAATACAATAGTTAACATGGAATTAATTTGCTCAGTTTGTACAGTTATATACCAGGTTGTTGACGCTATGCTGTTATTATACTGTCGGGTAGTGATTAGTAGACTTCATCTCCATTTGTTTATATCAAAAACAGTCCTCTTTTTATTTACACTTGTAAAATGGTGTAAAAAAAAGATACACGATAATAATTAATTAATGTAAAAATAACTTAATAAATAACTAAATAGCATATAAAAAGGTAGAGATTGCTACTAACCAGTTACCTCCCATTGGTTGGTGATTCAAAAGGACAGCTCTGCTACCTAGACTTTGCTGTGACAAGACTATAATTGCAGGGAAGAGAACTAGTGCTAAACCCCTCTCTTGTGTGTGACCATAATAATACACATGTGAACTCTTTTTATATAATATTTTGTAACTGAAATTATTTTGTATGGCATTGTAAGATTTTTTTAAACAATATCAACTGTAAGCACTTGTACTTTGTATATCATCTTTTTATAACTTGGATAAATGCTAATTATTAAGTGTCACTTGTAGAACATTAAATTATTCTTATGGTTACTGAATATGTGTGCTAGTTATGAAGAATGTAAAAGCTGTGTTTCGAAAAGGGTGTACTTACATTAGCACCTTCCATGTTTGACATTTCTGAACATTTTTTTTTCTAATTCTGTCATCAGTGTGAAAAACATCAAAAATAATCGACAACTTTATAAGTATAAAAACATTATAAGCAAGAAATAATGAAAATAAGAATTATTATTTTCAAAAAATAGTTATTAATTTTTGATATTAATTATAATTAAAAGTTGTTATAATGGCTGATATTTGTTAAGATCATGTATGACAAATGGCGTGAGAAGGAGGATTCCGTGATAATGTTTTTAAACGTGCAAGGCAACTTACTGATTTTCTAATTAATCAGCTACTGAAGATATGCTTAATTACAGTGAAAAGTACAAAATCTAAGAAATTAAAACTAAGTTACTGCTTTGTTTAAAGCATTACTTTGTCAAAACTACTCAGGTTGATTTAAGTCTTCTATAAAACAGAAGGCTACAGGGTAACACTATGTACCCTGCTATTAGGCTCTTGTGGATTGAATTAGCATAATGAAAACAGTGTAGAGACAGACATTTAAATGCTACATTAAAAAACCTGTATAGGTACACCATTAACATTACATAGATCACATGGAAAATATTAATAATATATATAGGAGTTCTAGAGTAATAGTTGTGTTTTACTAAACCACTCCCAAGTATACAAGATAGATAATACCAAAATATTTTTATTATAATTACTCTCGGGGAACCTCTGTATATTTTTGATAAGAAAACAGCAGGATTTTTCTTTTACCGTTATCATAAAAAAATACTTAATAATTTACTGATAGTGAAACAAGACTAATTGGGGTCTCAGTATAGCTGCAGGTATATAAAGGGTAATAATAACATAATGACTTCCTGTTTTGCATATTGTCGGTAGTTTGAATATGTGCATCAAACAGAGAATTCACAGTTGAAAGACTGAAACAAAGCCATAAATGTCTTCCATTTATGTTATAACTTTTACTGAGTGAATGACAAAAATATATGTCTATTTCATTGTTTTAAAATAGTTGTTATTAGAGATAAATATTCAACTCTCTAAATATGTCTTTTTCTAGTATACGTATAAAAGTTTTGGACAAATTTGAAAAGTTTATGGTTAAGGGGAAGTGTTAGCCCCTCCCATGCCCTTCTCTTCATTGTTTGCATGCCCTGGTTATGTTTGTCTGAGTGTAATACGTAAGCAATATATTAACTTAAAACTACACTATTGTTTAGCTCAAACAAGTTAAACATGAACAATAGGCATCACAGTGGCTAATTTGTAACGAACGGCCACTAGGCCACACCCTCACATTTGTAAGTTGTATACAAGCAGAATGTATGCAGCATGCATAACATTGCTTCATCAGAAGTATTACTAGTGATTGTGTTATGCGTTAGTCCAGTTGGTATGTGTCTGAAGCTCAACATGTTTGTTTGAGTTATGACAATGCTACTAATTAAGACATTCTGCTGACCAGAGAGAAAGCAACTGGCTGGTGCTTACTGCCAAGTTTTGAGTTGCCAAAATTGTTTGCCGTAAGAGCATTATAATGTCGCTATTAATTTGTAAAAGATTAGCCCAAAAGTTGGTTGTGGATTCTACCAGCTTGTATCTTTTTTTCTGGTAAACACCAATTTTGATTAGTTGATTATTTTACGTGACACCGAGTATGTAAGTGGTACTCATAGGAAATTGATTCATCAAATTAAGTGTCCAGCTCTATTGAAGATAATATAATTTTTGTCCTCGAAATTTATTTTTAAATATACCAAATCATCCATTAAGGTTTGATTTGCACTGTTTTTTTTTGTTGTTTTTTTTGCATAGTAAAACACCAACTATATTATGAAAAAGCTATTTTTGGATGTTATTTTGAAATTATAACCATGAATAGCTTATTCCCTTGTGGTTTTTGCTATTTTGCCATGCTTACTTTAATGTTAAATCATGCATGAATTTAAACTTTTTTTTACACATTATGAAGGAATTGTGTCAGTTTAAAACATCATATTTATTCATGACTTCAGTATTTGTTTCATAATTTCAATGGCATGAATTCAAGGTATTATGTAAATATGGATCACTTATTGTAATTTCAGTGAATAACCCATGATTTGTTAGTTGGTATAGTATTTTTACATCCAATAATAGTAAATGCACTGTAATTTTTCTCCATAATCTCATCCGTACAGGTGGATATTTTGCAAACAGCTTAGCTATAATGACAGATGCAGCACATTTACTCAGTGATCTTGCTAGCTTCTTGATCAGTCTCTTTGCCCTCTGGGTAGGACAAAAATATCCCACTAAACGAATGTCATTTGGTTACTACAGAGCAGGTAAGTGTATTAGTTTTTCATATTTATTTCTCCATGGTACATTTTGTTAGATTAGAATTCTTGTGTGTTCATATTGATGGTTCTTTGTGAGTAAAGTGGATACTTACATGTATGTATGAAATGCATTTTAAACTTTCATGTCGCATCTTCATCAGTGATGATATAACATTTTCACAAGTATGCATATATTATGCTAGAATGGGGGGGGGTCCAATTCATGCTTCTTAAAATCAATAAACAAAGTGCTGTTTTCTTTAATGTTTCACTTTAATTATTTTTCCTTGAATTTAATTTGATCATGCTACTGGCCAACAAAATTATGGAACTTGTAAAGTTCTTATTATGAATAAAGCGTGTGAAAACCATCTTGTGTTTTAACTCAGTTTTGTATATTTCTGGGTGGGAGAAGAAATGGAAGTATGAAGAATAAAAAATGTGGACTCTTTAGGAAATGTTTAATTATCTCTTACATGTAGTTCGTATTTTATATATCACAGTTTCTACTTGGTTGCTTTGTGCATAACACATTGCAGTAAACTATACAAATCAGAAGTATCACAAAACTTACTTTGGTCTAAAATATTACATGTTATGGTTAATATCTGTGGTAGTAATGCCAAACCTAGACATTGATGCCTATTAAAGTCAGGATATGATAATATCCAACTGTACTACTAGTTTTGTTTTACCTGTTTGACTTCTTTTACTTGACACCCAATTTGCAAGTCAATGAGATTAAGGTTTGAGGGATTGGGTGGGCTAGAGGGGTATTATAGTTTCTGGTATTCAAGGGAGAACCGATAAAGGGCTTGATATGTTAATATCAGAAAACTAACTACTCTTTACTGCTAAAATAATTCATCTCTCAGTAGTGTTTAGCTACAAAAATGCAGAACTTATAAGATGGCTGGACTGCGTTCCTCTTGAAAAAAATAGTAGAAGCATTCATGTTCAAGCAGTAACCACAGTTAGTTACTTTACAGTAGAAAAATAAGATTTGTTGAGCCTTTCCTGGCCGTGTCTATTGCCAGAACTTGTGTAAAATAGCTTTATGGGGTTGAGGAACCAGATCTTGTATTGGTCAACATGTGCAGCCACTACTTTGTTTTGTGTGGGATTTTGGATCATTGCCTAGAAACTAGTGTGAATTCATATGACACAGAGATATGAAGATTGAGAAGGTGTTTAAATATTTTGAAATTAAGAAATTGAAAGTTAAGTAATATATAAAACTTTGGATTATAAAGTATGTCTTGCTACCAAACATTACTTCATGACATTAATTATAAATTAGAAAAATACCAAACAAATCCAAATTGACCTCCTAGAAAAACAAAGACTTGTGATGATACTAGATGACCTTTTTGCAGAGGTTAAAATAATTCATAAGGTGGACATCAAAGTATTATAAGAAATATTAAGACACAATAATACCATAAAAACATTTAATTAGTGACATTTCAGAAATTGTTTTCTAATTTTCGTCATCAGCATAAAAAAACAATTAAGTTTATGATTATAAAAAACATTTTAAGCAAGAAGCTTTTGATACTGACAGAAATTTAGAAGGAGCACACTAAGATGGTTGATATATTTTATAGTTACAGACTGGAAGAAAGTGTAGAAACATGTGTTATGAGGAAATCAGTAAATTAAACAACTTAAAGGAAGTGACCATGCAGCATGTTACAACAGCCACGCTGTTCTATTTTTATTAATTTTTCCAGCACTTTCCGTGTAATTAGAGCTATTTGTAATTAAACTGGAGCCATGTTCATGTGTCTAGATTAATGACTTAATGGTGTTACTTATGGTTAGATTATTATTAGTCAGGTCTAGTAATTCATGACAAACACAGTTACATAAGCAAGTTATTCAGCAGTCAAAAATATTTTGAGCCAATAAAGAATAATAGATATTAATTTCCTGCAAAAGTTTGTTTCATTAAAGCATTCTTACCCTAAGTAACAATGGTATGTTTGTAGCTTGTAATAACTACAGTCCTCCATGAATTAAGTGAGAGTGCATTTTTCCACCAAATGTTATGTTTGGCACAAAAACTTAATTACTGGAGTAAAATTTTGTTATTTTTCATAAGCTATATACAACAAAAAAAAGTGAAGATGGCATTATACATCTAGTTTGAAATTTTAGTAATTAATTTATTCTGTCACATGTATATAAAATACTATCTTCCATGTACTTGGAGTTTTAAAATTAAGATAAACTTTGGAATTTATGTATTACTAACTTTGTCATCTCTGTGTCATTTTTAACTAACTCAGTTCCCTGAAATGGTGTATTTAAGTGTTTTACACTCACAAAAAACGAAACCTATTATTCTATAGGTATTTGAAAAACTTGTAGCATTCTTCCACAATTTAATTCTTCGTATTGTTAGCCGACACTAGGCAGCTGGTACATAATTGGTTTGGTTTAGTCTGAAGTTTCATTGGTGGTAGTGTCCAGGAGGATGAGGAGTGGAATTCTCCGAAACTAGTCTGGCTCACAGACACACC